AGAAACCTCAGCTATCACTGTCATGCTCTGCAATTGTATGAATTGGCAAGACTCCAAGGCCCTTTGCAGCCCAGAAGCAGCCATGGCTTCTTGGGGCACATTACATAATGGGTCTTTGATCTGTCCTTTGACAAGCCGCTCGTGGGCTGACTGAATATTGCATCTTCGCAGCCTACAAAAACAGTGGAAAATCCTGCTTCAGACAGAAACGCCGGCGAAATGTGGGAAACGCCGGAATTCTGAAGAACCGCCTTAATTTGGATTCAGGCGCCGAAACCACATTTAGGCAAAACAAATTGCCTAAACGGAGCCTCCAGGTATAGGGGAGTATCATCGCGCTTACTAAGGTGGATACTATGAGCCTGCTCCCTAAGACCTGCACCCCTTTAGCTCGAACCCTTCACCCTTTCATGGTTCAGGGTGTAGAGTTGCCCTTCCCTCAACCCAAAACTTGCATTCCGAAACCTTAAACTTAACACCCAAAGCCTTCAATCCTAAACCCTACAAAGCCTAAAGTCTAACCTCAACCCAAAACTGTAGATCCTAAACCCTAAATTCTACGGCCCCAGAAGCCGCTCATCTTTGGGTAGGCAAAGCCGGCACTTGCCTGGCCCTGGCTAGCTTGCCGTGGTGCCTGGGACCTGTTTAGGGATTTTAGGGTTTAGGGTTTTTCGGTTTATTGGGTTTAGGGCTTATGGGGCATCTTGGGGTTCAGGGTTTAGTGCTTAGGGTTTAGAGGGCATTTTGGGGTTTATGATTTAGGGTTTGGAGTATGGTCGGGTTGCAAGTTGAGGGTTCAGAGTATGCTTCGCTTTAGCATGTCTAGGGCGTAGAGTATGTTGAGTCGTTTAGGGTTGAGAGCGAGATAGGTTGGAGGGTTTGGAGGCAAATGGCACGAAGGCGTTGCATACAGAAGATGAAAAACATTCCCTAGGGCTCCATGTCTATGAATAGTACCTACATTGGGCCCCAAAGTCTATAAATATGACCTACATTGGGCTATTTGGAGCCTTAGGGATTGAATCCCAATGGAGAATTCTTTGCCATGGCGCGAAAATCCTAGGTTGCTCCTCCCTGGACCCTTTCTTTCTTGCGTGGCACCAAGCGGTCACTGTTATTACATGTCGGTAATTCAGATGCCCCAAGCCCGAAACTTGCAGCCTTTTCCCTAGAACCCGTCGACTGTCCCAATTTTTTCGCTAAGCCCTGAAGCCCTGAAGCCCCGCTAAAAACCGCAAAGCCCAAAATCCTAGACCCGCAGCCCGAACCCGCAAACATTCTATATCTTAACCCCAAAACCTAAGCCCGGAGCCCTAAACAACTGAACCCACTATTCATAGTAATAGTACTAGTAATAACAACAGGAACAGAAAAATAAGCACAGATCCTGAGTCCTGAACCTCAAACACTCCCTAGGGATCTAAGTATACAAATAATGCCTACATTGAGCCTCAATTAAAGCCTGTAAATCTTATCTACATTGGGCACCCTAAAGCCTGAACCCTAAACCCTGAACCCTTAACACTACACCCTGAACACTAGACCCTAAACCCTGAACCCTAAACCCTAGACCCTAAATCCTGAACCCTAAACCCTAAACCCTATGATTCAGGCTCATGGCCGCAGAGCTCCGGGCGCATCGGCGCCTCTTCCCTCTGGCACTGGCACAGCGATTTGGCTGCAGCAACTCCAGGGATTGATATGGTGGTTTAGGGTTCAGGGTTCAGGGTTTAGGGTTTAGGTTTCACGGTTTAGGGTTTGGGGGTTTAGGCTTTACAGTTTAGGGGTTTAGGGTAATCTAAACCTTCGAAGGGGTTACATAAGGGGTATATAGGGGTTATGTAGGGATATATTTGGGGTATAAAGGGTTTAGGTTAGGGTTTCCCAACATTAGGGGCACCTTTTTGAGGGTTCCTATAATAAGGATTAATTATGGCATTTTGGGATCTATATTCTTTATTCCCCACCCTCACAGTGGGGTTGTTAGATTTTAAAGTCAATGTTGTCCTCGC